TACCCAGTTCCAGAGTAAAATCGCTGAAAACGATACCCTAGCTGGCGGCACGTCCCCGTATAGCGAATATAGGGGAGTACCCCCCCCGGGAAATCTGCAAACAGTTAGAAGAAGTCTGCCAGTCAAAATAAGAAACATGAAACTCTTCTGCTGCCTTTGCCACTTCATCTACACCTAGCTTTTTGTAGTGATAGTTTGATCTTTTATTTCAAAATAGGGAGTTGGTCTTTCAGTTCATGGTCACTTTAGAGTTGCTACAGAAAAAACATTATTTGCCATGCCTGAAACAGCAATTGGTAAATTGATATAATTTATCTAATTYAAATCATTACAATAATTGCTTTCAAGAAAAAATATTACTATTCTATAATGCTAGTGCAGTATAAATCTTCAGCTTCCAAATCATATATTTCTGAGCTAGTYTACTGAACATGTTCACCCTTAACAGCGATATGATGTTGAACTTCTTGAAATGTTGTCCAGTTAATAAATATTTTTGTCATTATGTGATCAATTTATAGAATATAAATAAGAATCAATAGTCAGCATRTTTGTTAATCAAGTATATGAAATGTTTTGTTCCTGATAGGATTATTTCCTGATGTTGGTGGTGGACATGCTCTKCCAAGACTGGAAGGCTGTCTTGGAACCTTCCTGGCATTAACAGGTTATAGTCGTGTGACATGACTGAATTTACTTTAAACAATCAAATAAACAACCACAAATTCTACTTTTGTATGATATGATATATTTATCCATCAGCGCCTTCCTGAAGAGACAGATTTAATGCTACAATTTTGTAATTTTTTTTAGGACATAGACTGAAAGGCATWGATGTCAAACATGCTGGTGTAGCAACACATTTTGTTACACTTGATAAGGTACAGAATGAATACATACTTCTAAGGGATTCATGGTGTAATTAATATATATATAATGTACATGTATAACGTTTTGTTCCCCTTTATGAAAAAAGTGCTACTTCGGGTACTGATGTCTATGTTCCTTTGCTCATAAGCTTTCTGAATTAGAGGAATCTTTACATGGTTTAAGTGATTTTAAACTGAGAACTGTCAAAGGCTTGCTTGATGACTTTGATTCTAAGGTACTGGATGCAATCAAATGTATTAATTATTTGGCAATTAATTAATAATCATATGCAATGATGATAATCAACAATTAGACCTCGAGGTCGAGAGGACTACGAGCTAATAGCCCATGAGGCCGAGTCCGCGAGGCCGAATGGGCTATTAGCTCGTAGTCCACGAGGCCGAGAGGTCTAATTGTTTTAGTATAAACATACTAATCGGTCAAATAATGAAAACAAATTGAAATATCCTTAAAATAATTTATTAATGAGATGCCGTCATTTTGATTTTCCCGCGAGTGGTCTATCACAAATTAGACCATTAGTAGAGTAGCCAATCACAGCGCAGTATGAGTGATAGACCGTTAGTATGTTTATGCTAATGATGATTAGTAACATTGACAATGATATGGATGATGCTGATTCATGTAATCTCAATCATGACAAAGTGATGGCATTAATGATGACATGATAGTTAGATTATGATGGTTRTCTGATCGATAACCATGATGGTTATTTTTGAAAACAGTGTTCAAAGAATCAAAACCCAAAGTTCATCTTGGAGGATCACAT